CCCCAAAACCCCAAAACCCCAAAACCCCGGTGGTTGTGTGAAATATTGAATCTTGGCATAAATCCCTCAACCAAAGCATTCGATAGTTAAATGACATCTTCAGATCAAGATAGTTCCCTATCAAAGAGATTTATGAACCCCAACTGCAGTGGTAATTCCCTTGAAGACGAATATCTCAAATTGTGTGAGGTCGAAAATGAGCTCAAAAGAAAGATATCCCATAAAAAGGTATTTATATCCACTTTTAAGAGAAAAGAGAAAGAATATGAAGACCTAAAGAAACAATTAAAGGTAATTTTATTTTATTTTTCCTTTAGAAGGAAGAAATTAGCATCAATATCCTAGAAGAAGCTCTCCTAAAGGAGTGCTCCAAAGTTGCACTCAAGAATTGGGATAACCTATGAAAAGAAGTTCCTGATGTAATCAGGATACTTTCTGAATCTCCACAGGAAGAGAATGATGAAAAATAAAGAGGGCTCCACTCAAGAGAGTAATCTTTCTGTGGAAGAGATAAATTTGGCTAAAATTCTTACCAAATTCCACAAGGGTAAGATTCAGATGACCTTTAGATAAGCTAAACGAGATCAAAGAGAAAGACCAAATAATCCAGAAGCTACGGAGAGACTACAAACTTCTGTGTCAGGATGAAAATGAAAATAACTCAGAAAGAAAGGACTCTTTGTCTTACTCTGAAGAATACCAGCTAAATAACTATCGGAGAGGATACAATCAGAGTTATCATTCCTTGATGTTCCAGTTTGATTCAGCAACCCTCCTCAAAGAGACTGAGATTAAATAAGATGGTCATCCAGGTTGAGGAAAGGAAGTACCAGGAAGAAATTAGCAAGATTCGGAAGGAAATATCCCAACATTTGAGTAAAATCCAGAATATTGAAATACAGAAGAAAGCCACCTTTGGGAAGTTTAACCAAGTAAGTACTGATGGTATAGCATAGGCATCGGATAAGACAGACTGAGAAGAAGACACAGACTACTGCGTCTATGTTCTCAATGACCAATATGTAGTTCTCAAAGCCATTGAGGTGACCGAAACAGAGGAGATTTATAAGGTTTTAAATAAGAAAAAGGGGAAAGAAATGATACTCAGGATGTTTACAATAGATGAAAGTATTGATCTAGAAGATTTAATGGATTACTTACATGAAGAAAACCTTAGTTTTTATAAATAAATGCCCGTTTGCATGTGCGAAAGTGTATGAAATCTTTGAAAACATTTCCTCGCCTCATTCAGGGTTAGCTGCTTCGGTAAATCAGTTATGAATTATCGAGGAGCTTTACTCAGGACCAAGCCTTCAGACTTATCTTGGGCCGAATTTTCAGAAACCTAAAATATCAGAATTATGCAGTTGGGCCTAAGAACTTATTGATATGACTAAAATTTCTTTTGAAGTCTCCTTCAAACAATAAGTTGTGAATTCCGTTGGATGTTAGTGACATTGCTCTACACTATAAATCTATCAAAATCTCCCTATCTAATTATTTAATCAAAAGGTATCTGACTGAGATTGCAGATGGGAATGTTGACTGTACCAGCCAAGCATGTTTAGGCTTATACAAAGATTTGCCTGAAAATTCTGAAATTACACAAGCTGTTGATCGAAAAGATAAGTGACACCTTGCAAAATTGCTCAGAAGTTTTATATAAATTTTCAATCTAATTATGACTCAAGGAAGTTCCACGAGCACCACCTGAAATTAATAGATTTTAACTAACAAATAAGCTAAAAATTATCTTTTTACCCTCTTCTTTCTAAAAATGTGTACAACAGTGAAAATATTTATAAGCCTAACTATTTTTCAATTCGGGTTTACTCCTATGGGGTTTTGGGGTTTTGGGGTTTTGGGG